TGGAGCGCCCGTGCGGCGCGCTGCCTGCCGCTGGCACGGGGGGCACGGTGGAGGGCAGGCTGACCCGCACCCGCCATGCCTCACCGCTGGGGATCTCCAAGCATCTGCCACGCCACCCATCCCCAGAGCCTCGCTGCCCCAGGGAAGGACACGCGCCACGGCGCCGGTGACACAGCCACAAGCCCCGGGGCAGCGAGGTCAGCGGCTGGGGTCACATAGCAAGGCCCCGACGGAGCAGGCAGAGCTGTGCAGCGGCCTCGGCTGCAGTATGTGGAGCCAGGGGTCGCTCCCGGGGGTCCCCGGCCCCCTGCAGCCACGTGGGCCGGGGAGCACCGGGCTTGGCCTCCGCCTGCTCCCCCAGTCCAAGGATGCTGGGTCCACCTGAGTCCCGCTCGGGAGTCATCAGCACTAGCAGCTCAGGCCCCCGTCTGTGCCCTAATGAGGCCCCCAGACGCAGGGGCTCGGGTCGTGGGGGCCGTGCACGGCCCTCAGGCCCCACTGCGGTGCGGGAGCTTTGAATTTTCTGCTGGCGGGCGGGCGGGCGAAAGCGATCCGCGTGAAATCGGAGGCCGCTGGAGGGAGTGTCGCGGACGCCGGGGAGGCGACACTAACCACGCTCGGGCCCAGCACAGCAGCGTCTCAGCCCCTGCCCAGCATCGGGCTGGGATCCCGGCCTCTTGAGGAAACAGTCATCCCCCAGTGGGTCGGGAACGTCAAGCCGGCAAAGCCAGCCCGAGCGCACAGACCTGTTTGGGGAGGAGGCCGCTGGGGTGAATAATCCACCTCGGGCGAGGCTGCTCCCTCCCTCCACCAGCAGGAGCTGATGCCCCAGCTCTGCTGCCCTCGGCATGGCAGGGGCTTGGTTGGGAGGCAAGTAGGAGCCGCGCTGAAGGGTGGCGCGACCCGACGGGGACTGGGTGCGTGGGGGCTGCTCCTGGGGCACAGGCCACGCAGCTCCAGGCGAGCTCAGCACTAGCCCAGAGCAGGCTCCCTGGTGCCAGGGCAGCTGTGGGGCCCAGTCCTGGCACAGCCCAGCCCCAGTTCAGTGCCCACCCCAGAGTCCCTCTTCCCCCCACACAGTGCGCATCTTGCAACAGGGCTCCCTCCCTCACGTGCCCCACACAGGGCCGGACTCTCCCCCGCTGATGCAGAGAGCACCTCTCCCGATAGCCCCCCAGCCGGGACCGAGGCAGCCACCTCTGGGGTGAAACAAGCAGCTGTGGAAATTCATTTCCAAGAAACACAATATGAGCTTGAAGCCATTGGGGACAGGGGAGGTATCAGCCAGGACATGCTGCAAGACCACAGAGGCTGAGCCCCGGCGTCAGGCTACGTCGGAGGACATCAGTCGTGTGCCAGCGCCCTGTCCCCAGGCACTCCCGCGCCTCTGCCCTGTGTCAGGAGGGCCCCTCACCGCTTACCATCTAAGATCGCCACTTTTCCGCCAGCTGCCTGCCCCGCGGAGCGTCCTGGGCTGTGTCACACCATCCTGGGCCCCAGGACTGCAAGAGACCAGACACCTGCCCTGAGACCTCGAAGCGGGAGGATCCCAACCAGCCCAGCTTCTCTCTGGTATAATTCCCTGAGCTTTTATAGGCCCTGGGACTTCAAAGGCTGCGGCAGGCCTCAGTGACTCAGGCCTCCCCCCTCTCTGGGAGGCCGCCACTCTGTCATTAGTCCCATTGTGCAGATGGAGAAGCTGAGGCACAGACACGTCCGGTCCACAGTCATGTGGCGAGGGAGAGGCGAGCCTGGGAATGGGACCCAGGAGTCTTGGCTCTCAGCTTTCACCACTAGACTGCCCCGTTTCCTCTTGAGCAGTCTGGAGCTGAAGCTTCAAGGCAGGGAAGCGTGCCGAGGCCTGGCAGCCTGGAGACGCCCTCTGCGAGACAGGCAGGGGCTTGGCCCCACCTCTGGGTGAGGAGAGAGGCCTGGTCCCCTCAGACAACCCCCAAGTGCTGCAGGAGGTTGCAGAGCTGGCCTGGAGGTGCTGGGCTGCACACGAGGGCGGTCACTGAGCCTGTCGGCTGGGCATGACGGAGGGGACCCTGTGCCTTCCCAAACCTGCTGGCAACAGTGCCTGGGCCACGGTGCCTGCCAAGGCAAGGAGTGGGAGGGCAGAGCTCTGTCCCCACCCCTGCACCGACACTGTCCCCGTGGACTTGGCTTCCCCAGCGCCGGCCCGCATGCTAGAGCCATCACGGCACAGGCATTTCACGCTTACCCAAGTGCTGGAGCGGAGTCAAAGCCCCAGAGACACAATGTTCCCGCTTGGAGGTTACCCTGGATCTCAACAAGCTGCACCCAGCACCACAGGACATCCGCCGCCTCCCGGGGCAGGGTCACCTCCCACCGGCGGACGGCTGCTGGGAGCTGGGATGAGAGAAGGGGCCCAGCAGAGCTCGTAGCGGGGGGGGACACCAAATCGAACCCCTCACGGACCCACTCCACCCAGGCCTCCGGGCTCAGGGAGAGGGAATGCCCCCCTCCGAGGGTCCCCAGGGGAAGGGCCTGTTTGCTGCCGGGCGGCACGGTCTGTTATGCCAGGAATGCCTCGCAGCCCATGGGGTTATCTGGGGGGTGGGAGCTGCCTGCACGTTTCTCTTGCTCCATCGCCCAGGGGACGCTGCCTATCAGCGGATCAGCCAGGCACCTTAACTCCTCCGGGGCTCAGCGCAAATCACCTGCTGGCCCCGCTGGCATGACAGGGGGGGCGCGCAGACTGCACGCGGTCTGCGCCGCGGGGCCAGATCCACAACTGTCTCCTGGAGCTGGAGCCAGGAGACACAGGATGAGCTCCTGGCCTGGAGCCCCAGCGCTGCTCCCTGCGTGCAAGGTGCCCAAACCCCCATGGCTCCCCTCTTGGGTGGCAGTGGGCCTTCTCCCACCCACACGTATCACAGAGCTGGCCAAGGCCCCAGCTTTCAAAGCCCTTCTCTGCTCAAGGCCCTGCTTCACAGCACTTCCAGGGGCAGCTTTCCGGTCTGTCCCCTGGGTCCCAAGCTGAGACCTACCAAGTCATGCCACATGCTGCCGAGCAGCAATCAGAGGGCACCAACCTCCGCTGCTGTTAAGTCCAAGCTGGCTCTCAATGCCCGAGCTCTCCACAGCCCGGTCAAGCCCGCCGCACGACACGGACGGACACCCAATGGCCAAGGGGGATTGGTGGGACTGGATGACAAGCAGGCTGGTTTTGAGCCCAGTGGGCTGCATAGGCAAGTGGAGGATGCTTGGTTTTGGGTCGAACGACAAAGAACAAGCAAAAGGCGGGTGCCAGGAGCTGCTGCGTGCACTGCACCCTGGCCAGGACATCGCACCATGCCCTCCCCAGGCTGCTCAGCATCTTCCTTTCCAGGCAGCAACAAACTCGGCTAAGCCCTCCCTGAACTTTCTGTACCTCCCGGGGCCCCAGAACTAGTCCCATAAGCCCCGAGCAGGCCCATACGCACCTGCGTGTGGATGAGCAGGGCTGGAGGGTCACGGTTTGTCATGGGGCGGCACCGGAGCAGCCGAGACGGGCTCACGTCGGGATCGGCGCAGCGCTGGCTCTGGCGCACAAGCAGAAACCCGGTGGCTACTAACCTGTTTGCGGGACAGGAGGGGATGTCTGCGCGGGCAGCTCCGCCGGGGACTGGGCTGGAACAGGCCGAGGGCTGAGCCGGCTGCGTGAGCCGCTGAAGAAATTCTCAGCTCAGGTTACCGGCTAGATAAATATAGCGTCTTATCTGACCTCACTGGGCGCCGGAGCACGCCTCTGGCATGCCAGCCCGGGGAGCTTAAAGGGGCAGCGCAGTGCACACCGGGCCCAGTCCAGCGCGGCCCTGCGCCCACAGAAAGAGGGCACAGCCTGGGAGGCTGGGGGGCACGGGGAACCAGAGGCCCCGGGGGCTGGAGGCAGGGGAGACCAAGGTTTGGAGGGCCTGGAGTGATGCTCTGGGGACAGGGCAATGGGACGGAGCTGGGACAGGCAGCAGGACCTCTGGGTGCTGAAGCAGCCGGGCAGCAGATGCAGGGTCTAAGTCACGGGATGGCAGGCTGCTCTGATCCAGACCCAGCACCTGCTGAGAGCAGGGGGGGCCTGCCCCATCCCCCAGGCCACGGGACCCTACAAGGAGAGGCAGGGACTCGTCTGGGAGACAGGGCAGGGCTGGCTGGGATGGTGCAAACAGACAGGTTGGGGGCAGAGGTCACAGGGCACTTAGCTCCACAAGCGAGGCCCTTCGCAGCCGGCTTTGTCTGGTGGGTCTGTGGCAACAGGTCGGTCGCCCCCGGGGGCTCTGTGGGCTGGGGCCCTGGGAGGAGCCCCGCGCACAGACCCCGAGCAACGTGGATCGGGTGGGACGCTACCCACCGAGGGCTGGTCCCCGAGGCTGACGTGGGGCGCTGGCAGGCGGTGACTCAGTCTGCGCACACCGGGATAATTAGGCAGGATGCAATTAACCTGGCATTTCCCTCCCTTCTGCGTTACAGGCCAGGAATGGGGCAGGCGGCACCGGGAAACCTCCCAGGGCAGCCTCAGCCCTGGCCTCCATCCCCAGGAGGGTGACACCCGCCGTCTGGCTGCTCCCCGCTCTGCCCCGCTGCAGGGAGGGGCCTGCAGCCTGGCATGGCCCCTGCCCCTGGGCCACTGAGGTCACAACCTCCACGTGCAGCACGGTGCGGCACGTGCTGCTGTGACGTGCCACGGCCTCATGTGCACGTGCCGTGCGAGGGGCCATGTGCCCTCTCCTACCTGGCACGGGCTGGCTTGGCCCATGCACGCCCTGGCCTGCACAAAGCTGGGGGCAAACCCCAGTGGGCACCAGCCCGGGGGCGGTGGGCACAGTTCCGCCAGCCTGGGGGGCACTGCCATGGGGCAGGCAGGCGGGCACCGCCCCACTCCCTAGGCCCGGAGGAGGCGGCTGCGATGCACTCACCTGGCTCCAGCGCAGCAGCCAGCGCCGCTGTCTAGGCGGAGCCGCCCGGGCCGCGATGTCACAATGGAGCCCGGTCCCCCCTCCCTGGCCTGGCCTGGCCTGGCCTGGGCCAGGCCAGGCATCCCCGGGCACCTCGCCCTGCGCCCCCGCAAGGAAGACAGGGCCGGGTCGGGCATCCAGTGGATTTATTCTGTGGCAGAGCGGGCACTGCCCCGCCGAGTCGAGCTGCAGCAAGCCAGGGACACGACGACAGCGGGCATGGATCACGGATTGGGGCTGGGCTGCGCCCCCCTCGCTGGCTTAGGGGGAGAGGGTGGGGGTAGGCCTCCCCCGCATCTTCTCGGGGGCCTCTCCCGGCCCCCATTGGCCCAGGGGGCCCCAAAGCAGTGGGGAGGTGCAAAGGGGTCGCCAGCCCCGGCAAGCAGGAACTGCTGGGGGAGGAAGACTGGAGCCCGGACCTGGAGGAAGACTGGGCTGGAGCAAAACAGCTGGAAGCACGGAGGCAGGCGCGCTGGCATCGAGGGGTCCCCACCCCCAGCCTCTGTCCCGAGGGAGACAGCAGCCAGCAGCGACCAGGGGATGGCTGGAGATCTGGCCTCTGGACCCCAGATGAGAGGGAGGGGGATATCCACCTACGGAGACCCCCGAGGCATCGGTGTCTTGGCCTGGGCTGGGCAGCTTGGCCCTGCTCTTGTTCCTGCATCTGGGGAGACAACAAGCCCCAGCTCCGGGAGACCGGAGGGGTGTGAGCATGGGCGTCCCCAGCCTGCTGGGGGGCAAGGAGCCTGCTGGGGGGCTCTGGCCAGGGAGGGGGTGTCTCTAGCTCAGAGAGGGGTCTCTCCGCAGCGGCTCTCTCTCGTCACAGCTGAGGACCGGATTCCAGGGCACGGCGCGGGGCTCGGGATATCGTCTAGCCTGGACCGGCTGTCTCTGCCCCTCATGTGCCACTCAGTTCAAGAAAAAGGTATCCACCCCCCGCCCCACCTCACGCCCAGCTCCTGGAGCAGCCTCTGCACCCCCCCTTGACTGAGGGCTGGAGGCATGGGTCCCTCTCCAGGTCTGAGCTGTGCCCCCCCCTTACTCTGCCCAGGCCCCGCTCTTTGCTCACACTTCCCTAGGACTGCCCCCCACCCCGACCCCGCTGGACAGGCAGACGGACGGGTAGTGGGACGGGCAAGCAAAATCGCGATGGAAGAAGCAGCACTGCCTAGCAGAACGTGAGGGATGGCGCCATGCGCGGGGCCCTGGCATACTACGGGGACCCCCCCAGCGGGTGTGGGGCACGATGACGGGGGGCAGCGCGGCAGCGGCAGGTATACGGCTATAGATAGATAGATAGAGGGATATAGTGCGTGTGTTCAAAGCGTTCGCCTCCTTCCTCGGTCCAAGGGCCGCGGCCTGGCGGCAGGGCACTGCCCTCACAGGGACACGAAGTCCACGGCTTGCAGCAGCGGCAGAGACAGGAGCAGGAGCAGCAGCCACGAGGTGTTCTGGATCAGGAGGCTGATGCCGGCGCACTTCTCCAGCTTGTCTGTGGAGGGAGGGTGCGGGGCGGGGGGGGGAGAGGGAGAGTGAGAGCCCCGCTGGGAGCTGGGGGACGCGGGCCCTCCTCTGCCACTGCTCAGTCCCGTGTCCCTGGGCAAGTCCCAGCCTCCCACAGCGGGGCCGTGGTCTCCCCCAGGACCTCAGGACCCTGTGACTGAGCCAGCAGACCACCTGCCTCATTTCTTGGCTGACTGTGGCCAGCGCTCGCAGGTGCTGGTGACCGTGTTGCACAGCTCCATCCCTTGCGGACCCCAGGAGGGAGATACTGGGCCCCGGGATACAGGGGGGCTACCGGGCTCTGGGGGTGGAAGATCCCTCCCCAAAAGGAGCACAGACAGGGAGGCAAGTCCCAGAAGGGCAGCCCTGCAGGCTGAAGTCCTGCCCCGCCGGAGCAGGTACAGCCAGGGCGGTGCCAAGGCAAGCGCACAGGTTCCCACCGGGTGCGTCTCAGGGTCTGCAGCCACACAGGCTTGCAAGGGGCCTTCAGTCCCTCCCCAGGACTCAGGCTGGGATCCAGCAAACTCGCTCCACGTACGGGCTACCCACAGGTGGGAATGGCTCTCTCGGGTCTCACCCGGTGCTGCGGGGGCAGCAGCAGAGGAAGGAGCAGAGACCTGGCCCCCACCCCACTGACCTTTGATGACGGTGATGTTCTTGATCTGGTGGCCAGTGTAGTCATTGGTGGCCTTCAGCTCGCAGATGTAGACGCCCTCGTCGCTGGTGGTGAAGCTGGACAGGAAGAGGTGGATCAGGTTCCGGTGCAGGGCGACGTTGGAGCGGGACCGGTAGGTGCTCTCCGGGATGTTCATGTTGCTGTTGATCACGCGCTTGCGGGTGTCCCGGGTGATGCTGAACTCGTAGGTCAGGGGGTTGCTGGTCTTGTTCTCGAAGTGGCAGTCCACCCGCAGGCTCTGCCCCAGCAGGCAGGCGCTCAGGTCCCTGATTGTCTGGCACTGGGCAGCCTGGAGCACTGGGACAGGCATGTGGGTCACGCCAGGGCTGGAGAAGCCAGGACCTCCCACCCCGTAGAGGCACTAGCAGGGAGGGGCTCTTCCTGAGCTGGCAGCAGTAGTTTGGCTTTTATCCTCCCCCCATGCTCCACTGGGAGGTCACAACAACACCCAAAACAGGGAATCCCGCAGCTGTCCCTGCACCCAGGCAGGGGCCAAGGAGCATTCGCTCTCCCCAGTGGGGCAGGGATAACTCAGAGGCATCTTGGTCCCTTGCCCAGCCTGCAGAGCATGCACAAAATGAGGCTAGATGGGCCCTGGGGAAGCCATGCGCAGTGGCTGAGGCGCTGCAAAATCCTGCGACCCCTTCCGTAACAGGCCTCCAGCTTCCCCGGGGCCATTTGGGACCCCCCCCGGCTCCAGGGCAAAGCAGCTGTTTGCAGCTGTGGCTGCTCTGCATCTACAGGCAGTGGCCACCAGATGGCATCTGCGCCCACCTCTGCAGCCCTACCTGCCAGGAGCACCCCGATGCTGAGAGTGGGATTCATCTTCCCGCCGGCGCGGCCCACAGGTCTCCGCAGCTCGAGTCTGGGGTCAGGGCCTGGGCAGAGGCAAGAGCGCTGGTGAGCTACAAGGCAGAGGCAGGCTGGGAAGAGACAAGATAGACCCCCCTCACACACACCCAGAGGGGGGAGAGGCGCACACACATCCATGTGCAAGCATGTGCATCCCTACTCACGCAGGGGCAGACACAGCTGGACACAGAAAACCCGCCACGGACCCCCGGGCCCAGATGAACCCGCCTCTGCTGAGCACCGAGAGAAGCATGTGTACTCCCAGGGCGTACCTGAGCTGCGGTGGGCATGCACACAGCCCTCCACGGGATGTGGAGAGGCAGGATCACAAGGCTGGAAGGCAGGTGAGGCTGCCCATCTGCTGCTCATTAAAGGCAGCACGAGTGGGCTGCCCAGCCCTGACAGCCCCTGCACTGCTGGCCCACGCAGACCCCTCCCCTGGGTCTGAGAAGCGGGCAGCACAAGCTTCCCCTTCCTATTCCCTCCCTGAGACTTAGCACAAACCCCTGCCCCTGCCAGGGGGGAGCTGACCACACCAGGCAGGCTGGGCCAGGATGATTCAGAGGATGCGGGAAGAGTGGGGCCGAGCAGGCAGGGAGCCAGCCAGGCCAGGGGTCCAGCACATCTCGGGGCTGGGCCTAGATCTGCTGACCGTTGCCTGGTGGGGACGGGCGGCTGGAGTTTGGAGGGGAGAGCTCTCCAGCTGTCCCTGGCCGGGCTGGGGTGACGTGGGTGGGTGCCAGGTTGATGCACCACACGGACCCCGGTTGCAGCTGCAGCCGCACGTGGGGAACAAATCAGCCGCAGTCAGCAGCATGGCGAAGTGTCTGCGCAGCAAAACCCAGCCGCGGATGCTTCGACCCCAGGAGCCCTGCGTGCTGCCAGGGGGAGCTGGTTTGGGAGGGGAGCATGCGGTAGCCTCCTCTCAGGCCGCAGGGATGGGGTGGGGTGGGGCGGGGGTATGGGCGGCAGGGCTCTGTCTGCACCCTGGGTAGCAGGGGACGCTGGAGGGGTCGGGGCAGAGGAGGGCATGTCCACCCCCGCCAGCCAGGGCCTGCTGCGGCAGGGGGGAGCACGTATGATGCTGCCCCCCCAGTGCTGGCTGCGGGGGAAGAGCGAGGCAGATCCAGCCCCCAGCTGGCACCGGAGCCAGGGAGGCGATAGCTGAGCCGGGAGGTGCTGACGCACCCGCTTTCCACGAAGAAGGCCCCGTGTCTGCCCGACCCCTGGGAAACGCAGCCCCCCTCCGACGCTCCCTGGCCCCGGCGCATGCAACGAGCTCCCCCGAGCTGCGGCAACCCCCCCGGGGCTCCTCCCCTGACCCTGCAAAGCCACCGTGCATGGGAGAGCTGTAAGGACCCAGCCTGCTTCCCCGTCTTCACTGCAGAGCTAGTGGGGAGGATCTGACCTCCACTGGGAGTCAGTGACCGCCCCCCTCCCAGCGGGGGCCACCGCCTGCACTATGAGGGCCAGGGCACTGGGGATGCTGCTAGAAGTGGGGCACGGAGGGAGGCTCAGCGGTGCTGCGCGCCAGGGCGCCCGGGCACGCGGGGGAGGCTCGGCTGGGGGGGCTGCAGTAGCCT